AAAGCAGTGGGATAAGCTGGGATGTGTTTTTGCGACTCTGTAAGTCGATCTTTCCTTCCTGATTGGTCCGTGGCCTGGATCCTCCCTGAAGGCCCTGGTCTGTTCTCTGGTCTGTTCTCTGGTCTGTTCTCTGGTCTGTTCTCTGGTCTGTTCTCTGGTCTGTTCTCTGGTCTGTTCTCTGGTCTGTTCTCTGGTCTGTTCTCTGGTCTGTTCTCTGGTCTGTTCTCTGGTCTGTTCTCTGGTTCTCTGGTCTGTTCTCTGGTCTGTTCTCTGGTCTGTTCTCTGGTCTGTTCTCTGGTCTGTTCTCTGGTCTGTTCTCTGGTCTGTTCTCTGGTCTGTTCTCGGGTTCTCTGGTCTGTTCTCTGGGTCTCTGTTCTCTGGTCTGTTCTCTGGTCTGTTCTGTTCTCTGTCTGTCTGTTCTCTGGTCTGTTCTCTGGTCTGTTCTCTGGTCTGTTCTCTGGGTCTGTTCTGGTCTGTTCTCTGGTCTGTTCTCGGGTCTGTTCTGGTCTGTTCTCGGGTCTGTTCTCTGTCTGGTCTGTTCTCTGGTCTGTTCTCTGGTCTGTTCTCTGGTCTGTTCTCTGGTCTGTTCTCTGGTCTGTTCTCTGGTCTGTTCTCTGGTCTGTTCTCTGGTCTGTCTGTTCTCTGGTCTGTTCTGGTCTGTTCTCTGGTCTGTTCTCTGGTCTGTTCTCTGGTCTGTTCTCTGGTTTGTTCTCTGGTCTGTTCTCTGGTCTGTTCTCTGGTCTGTTCTCTGGTCTGTTCTCTGGTCTGTTCTCTGTTCTGTTTCTCTGTCTGTCTGTTCTCTGGTCTGTTCTGGTCTGTTCTCTGGTCTGTTCTCTGGTCTGTTCTCTGGTCTGTTCTCTGTTCTCTGGTCTGTTCTCTGGTCTGTTTCTCTGTTCTCTGGTCTGTTCTCTGGTCTGTTCTCTGGTCTGTTCTCTGGTCTGTTCTCTGGTTTGTTCTCTGGTCTGTTCTCTGGTCTGTTCTCTGGTCTGTTCTCTGGTCTGTTCTCTGGTCTGTTCTCTGGTCTGTTCTCTGGTCTGTTCTCTGGTCTGTTCTCTGGTCTGTTCTCTGGTCTGTTCTCTGGTCTGTTCTCTGGTCTGTTCTCTGGTCTGTTCTCTGGTCTGTTCTCTGGTCTGTTCTCTGGTCTGTTCTCTGGTCTGTTCTCTGGTCTGTTCTCTGGTCTGTTCTCTGTCTGTTCTCGGGTCTGTTCTCTGGTCTGTTCTCTGGTCTGTTCTCTGGTCTGTTCTCTGGTTCTGTTCTCTGGTCTGTTCTCGGGTTCTCTGGTCTGTTCTCGGGTCTGTTCTCTGGTTGTTCTCTGGTTTGTTCTCTGTCTCTGTCTGTCTCTGTCTCTGTCTGTTCTGTTCTCTGGTGTTCTCTGGTCTGTTCTCTGGTCTGTTCTCTGTTCTCTGTTCTCTGGTCTGTTTCTCTGGTTTGTTCTCTCTGTTCTCTGTCTTCTCTGGTCTGTTCTCTGGTCTTTCTCTTGGTCTGTTCTCTGGTCTGTTCTCTGGTCTGTTCTCTGGTCTGTTCTCTGGTCTGTTCTCTGTTCTCTGTCTGTTCTCTGGTCTGTTCTCTGATCTGTTCTCTGTCTGTTCTCTGGTCTGTTCTCTGGTTCTCTGGTTCTGTTCTCTGGTCTGTTCTTCTCTGTTCTCTGGTCTGTTCTCTGGTCTGTCTTTCTCTGGTCTGTTCTCTGCTCTGTTCTCTGTTCTGTTCTCTGTTCTGTTCTCTGTTCTGTTCTCTGTTCTGTTCTCTCTGTTCTCTGTTCTCTGTTCTGTTCTCTGTTCTGTTCTCTGTTCTCTGTTCTGTTCTCTGTTCTGTTCTCTGTTCTGTTCTCTGGTTCTGTTCTCTGTTCTGTTCTCTGTCTGTTCTCTGGTCTGTTCTCTGGTCTGTTCTCTGGTTCTCTGGTCTGTTCTCGGGTCTGTTCTCTGGTTTGTTCTCTGGTTTGTTCTCTTTCTGTTCTCTGGTCTGTTCTCTGGTCTGTCTGTCTCTGTTCTCTGGTCTGTTCTCTGGTCTGTTCTCTGGTCTGTTCTCTGGTCTGTTCTCTGGTCTGTTCTCTGGTCTGTTCTCTGGTCTGTTTCTCTGTCTGTCTGTTCTCTGGTCTGTTCTCTGGTCTGTTCTCTGTTCTCTGGTCTGTTCTCTGGTCTGTTCTCTGTCTGTCTGGTCTGTTCTCTGGTCTGTTCTCTGGTCTGTTCTCTGGTCTTGTTCTCTGGTCTGTTCTCTGGTCTGTTCTCTGGTCTCTCTGGTCTGTTCTCTGGTCTGTTCTCTGTTCTCTGGTCTGTTCTCTGTCTGTTCTCTGGTCTGTTCTCTGGTCTGTTCTCTGGTCTGTTCTCTGGTCTGTTCTCTGGTCTGTTCTCTGGTCTGTTCTCTGGTCTGTTCTTCTGTTCTCTGGTCTGTTCTCTGGTCTGTTCTCTGGTTTGCTGAAAGGACCGACTCTGGATAAACATGGAGTTTCCTCCGTCACCGACGACAGCGAAGTACACGTCTCCCAGTTTGTTTTTGCTGCTTTTTTTTCACACGATTAGGTGACTTTTAAAATGTAATCCCCTACAGATTACAGATTACACACACCAAAATGTAGTTTGTAACGTAATCCATTAAATTACTTAAAGTGAGTAATGTAATCTGAATACTTTGGATTACTTGATTTGTTGTAGAGAAGCAAAGACGAGGAAATTCATATAAGATGTTTTATCTGATAAAAGAAAATTAAAAAGTCCAGATTTTACTGAACCAAATTAAAAATATTATTGATAGAAAAGGAGGAAACACGTCCACACAGTATGAATTAATCCTGTTAAATCTTGGTTTAGTCCTGGTTTTAGACCTGGTTTTAGACCTGGTTTTAGACCTGGTTTTTGACCTGGTTTTAGACCTGGTTTTAGTCCTGGTTTTAGACCTGGTTTAGTCCTGGTTTTAGACCTGGTTTAGACCTGGTTTAGACCTGGTTTTAGACCTGGTTTTAGTCCTGGTTTTTGACCTGGTTTTTGACCTGGTTTTAGACCTGGTTTTAGTCCTGGTTTTAGACCTGGTTTAGACCTGGTTTTAGACCTGGTTTTAGTCCTGGTTTTAGACCTGGTTTAGACCTGGTTTAGACCTGGTTTAGACCTGGTTTTAGACCTGGTTTTAGACCTGGTTTTAGACCTTTTAGACCTGGTTTTTTTTAGACCTGGTTTAGACCTGGTTTTAGACCTGGTTTTAGACCTGGTTTTAGACCTGGTTTAGACCTGGTTTAGACCTGGTTTTAGACCTGGTTTTAGACCTGGTTTAGACCTGGTTTTAGACCTGGTTTTAGACCTGGTTTTAGACCTGGTTTTACCTGGTTTTAGACCTGGTTTAGACCTGGTTTTAGACCTGGTTTTAGACCTGGTTTAGACCTGGTTTTAGACCTGGTTTTAGACCTGGTTTAGACCTGGTTTAGACCTGGTTTTAGACCTGGTTTAGTCTTGGTTTAGTCCTGGTTTAGACCTGGTTTAGTCCAGGTTTAGACCTGGGATCTAGCCCCAAATGTGAAAACAGGAAAATCCCGCCGTGTAATCCATTTATTTCAACAAAGTAACTGTAATCCAATCACCAACTGTAACCGAATACAGTTACTCATAATTTGTACTCTGATTACGTAACTCTGGTACATGTAATCTGTTACTCCCCAACCTTAAGTAGAAGTATTTTATCACAACTTTTCAACGCTCCTCCAGGTTCGTAAATTCGTTTTTTTTTCAACTTAAAGCCGCTTGTGGTTCCAATCTTGACACTTTTCACGCATATTTCTCCATTTCCCCGAGAGGAAGGAGTGGAAAAACCCAGCGAGGTTCAGACAGGCCCCATGACCTTGTTGCTTTATTATTCTTTTGACGCTTGCGCTGGAGGTGTTGAAACGTCGGAACAGAACATGAGAGACGATGACCGCTCCGTTTACTTATCCGGCTGTCCCGTCCACTTGGAGGATTTAAGGCGGCGCTCGGCTGCGGTTTCGATTGTTTAGACTGACACCTTGAACCATAACGCCAGTCAAAAACGGGAGGAAATAAGTCTATTTACCGGTGATAAATGCGCTGAACACAGGCTTTTCACCTCTGACCAATGTTTGCGGTGAAACGAAGAGAAATAATTGGAAGGGGAATTTTTTTTAACACGTTCTTAAATTTAGATTTAAACTTTATTGATCCACAAGGGAAATGACTTGGACACAGCAGCTCAAAAAAGTCACAATTTATTACAAAAACGAAGAGAAAAAAAGATAATAAAACTACAAAATAAGTAGCAATTAAAATAATAAAAAAAACTACAAAAAAAACGTAAAAAACCCAAAAAAACTGACTGTTGTCAACTAAAACATAAATTATTAATTATTAAATAATGTAGAGAGTATTATCTGTTGTTATACAGTTGTAGGGAGTATTATATTACATAACGGTGAGTTGTAGAGTTGTAGGGAGTATTATCTGTTACGTAAGCGTGAGTTGTACAGTTGTAGGGAGTATTATCTGTTATATAAGTGTGAGTTGTAGAGTTGTAGGGAGTATTATCTGTTGCTTTAAAAAAAAAAAAGACTTGTTAACTAAGACATAAATTATTAAGTAAAAGACAAATATCGTAATATAAATACAGGGAGTATTATCTGTTGTTGTTGTACAGTTGTAGGGAGTATTATCTGTTACATAAGGGTGAGCTGTACAGTTGTAGGGAGTATTATCTGTTACATAAAGGTCGAGTTTTTGTACAGTTGTAGGGAGTATTATCTGTTGTTGTACAGTTGTAGGGAGTATTATCTGTTGTACAGTTGTAGGGAGTATTATCTGTTGTACAGTTGTAGGGAGTATTATCTGTTGTTGTTGTTTTCAATTGGCCACACTGTCAACAAAGCAAAGCGTGAATACTTTGAGGATTTGAACATTTATTTTATTTTTATTTTTATTTTGCTGTGTTTTAGTTTCATAATTCGATCAGTCTTGATGGTGACGACACTTTCCTCCGTCATCTCACCTTCTTCTTGTTTGTTTTTGCAGGAATGGCAGAACTCGATCCAGAAGAACGCGGGTCTGGCCTTCATCGAGCTGGTGAACGAGGGCAGGTACGTCACGTGACGCTCAGACACACATTTAAAGCTGCACTGTGGAACTTTTCTGTCGGAGATAAACAGACCTTTGTTTTCAGTATGTGAACAGTTTATATATGTAGTGTTTTTAGTTTTTTTTACTTGTTCTTGTCATTTTGAAGTAATTTGTTAAACCAGGACTGAGACCAGGACCAGACCAGGACTGAGACCAGGACCGGGACCAGGACTTAGATTGGGACCGAGTCCAGGGCCGAGTCCAGGGCCGAGTCCAGGGCCGAGTCCAGGGCCGAGTCCAGGGCCGAGTCCAGGGCCGAGACCCGTTTAGTCCAGGTTTAGTGCCGGTTTAGACCCGGTTTAGACACGTTTTGGTCCTGCTTTAGTCCTGTTTTAGTCCTGGGTTCAGTCCCGGTTTAGACCCAGTTTAGACCCGTTTTTTGTTTTAGTCCTGTTTCAGTCCTGTTTTAGTTCTGGTTTAGTCTGTTTTAGACACATTTTAGTCCTGTTTTAGACCTGTTTTAGACCTGGGTTCAGTCCCAGTTTAGACCCGGTTTAGACCCAGTTTAGACCTGGTTTAGACCTGTTTTAGTCCTGTTTTAGTCCTGGATTCAATCCCAGTTTAGACCCGGTTTAGCCCTGTTTTAGTCCTGGTTTAGACCTGTTGTAGTCCTGTTTTAGTCCTGTATTTAGTCCTGGTTTAGACTCTGTTTAGACACATTTTAGTCCTGTCTTAGACCTGTTTTAGACCTGTTTTAGTCCCATTTTAGACGTGGTTTAGACCCTGGTTTAGACCCTGTCCAGTGGATTTGGTTCACGTCCCGCACAAACGCCGCCCTCGCCAGTATTGATCTACGTCTTTTAAAACGCGCTCGTCTAATCCTCTGTAATGATCATGAGGCCGGTGATGGATGCAAACATACCTGAACCGGGACTAAACCAGGACTGAGACCAGAACCAGACCAGGACCGAGATCAGGACCAGGACCAGGACTTAGATCGGGACTGAGACGAGGAGGCTTTAGTCCTGTTTTAGACCTGGGTTCAGTCCCGGTTTAGAACCAGTTTATACCCATTTTACCCTGTTAGTTCTGGTTTAGTCCTGTTTAGTTCTGTTTTAGTCCTGTTTTAATCCTGTTTTAGTCCTGGGTTCAATCCCGGTTTAGACCCGGTTTAGACACATTTTAGTCCTGTTTTAGTCCTGTTTTAGTCCTGTTTTAGTCCTGTTTTAGTTCCTGTTTAGTCCTGTTTTAGACCTGTTTAGTTTTAGTCGTGTTTTAGTCCTGGGTTCAATCCCGGTTTAGACCCCGTTTAGACCTTTTAGTCCTTTTAGTCCTGTTTTTTCCTGTTTTAGTCCTGTTTTAGACCTGTTTTAGACCTGTTTTAGACCTGAGTTCCCAGTTTAGACCTGGTTTAGACCTGTTTCAGTCCTGTTTCAATCCTGTTTTAGTCCTGGGTTTCCTGGGTTCAGTCCCACTTTAGACCCATTTTAGCCCTGTTTTAGTTCTGGTTTAGTCCTGTTTTAGTCCTGTTTTAGACCTGGGTTCAGTCCCGGTTTAGACCCATTTTAGACCTGTTTTAGTCCTGTTTTAGTCCTGTTTTCAGTCCTGTCCTGGGTTCAGTCCTGGTTTAGACCCATTTTAAACCTGTTTTAGACCGATTTTACCCCTGTTTTAGTTCTGGTTTAGACCTGTTATAGTCCTGTTTTAGTCCTGGGTTCAATCCCAGTTTAGACCCGGTTTAGACACATTTTAGTCCTGTTTTAGTCCTGTTTTAGTCCTGTTTTAGTCCTGTTTTAGTCCTGTTTTAGACCTGTTTTAGTCCTGGTTTAGACACTTTTAATCCTGTTTTAGACCTGAGTTCTGTCCCGGTTTAGACTCGGTTTAGACCCGGTTGTGTGGACGACGGGGTTTGTACTTCACTTTAAAGAGGCGACGCTCGTGCAAACATACCTCGCGTCACGGCCGTTTACCGTTAAAACCGCGGTGATTTAAACGCCGCCGTATTCGCTCTGGAAACTTACTTCAGCTTTTCCACCCTCACGTCGTTTTAAAGCTGCCGTGTTACGCGGAATAAACTCCTGCGAGGTTTAAGACGAGTTCTAGTGTCGTTAAATCCTCAGAAACTCACTGTACCTGGAGTTTAAATCCTTTATTATTGGTCTGTTTACGTCTCCAGACCTCAAAGTGCTCTGATCCACCTTGTGATGTCATGAAGTGGTAGTTTAGGAAGGTGAGCAGCTTCCTAAAGCAGGACTAGACCAAGACCAAAGCAGGACTAGACCAGGACTAAAGCAGGACTAGACCAAGACTAAAGCAGGACTAGACCAAGACTAAAGCAGGACTAGACCAAGACTAAAGCAGGACTAGACCAAGACTAAAGCAGGACTAGACCAAGACCAAAGCAGGACTAGACCAAGACTAAAGCAGGACTAGACCGAGACTAAAGCAGGACTAGACCGAGACTAGACCAGGACTAGACCAAGACTAGACCAACACTAAAGCAGGACTAGACCAAGACTAAACCAGGACTAGATCAAGACTAGACCAAGACTAGACTACTGTAAAACCAGGACTGAAACAGAACTAAAGCAGGACTAAAGCAGGACTAGACCAAGACTAAAGCAGGACTAGACCAAGACTAGACCAAGACTAGACCAAGACTAGACCAAGACTAAAGCAGGACTGGACCAAGACTAAAGCAAGAGTAAAGCAGGTCTAGACCAAGACTAGACCAAGACTAGACTATAGTAAAACCAGAACTGAAACAGGACTAAAGCAGGACTAAAGCAGGACTAGACCAAGACTAGACTATTGTAAAACCAGGACTAAAGCAGGACTAGACCAAGACTAGACCAGATCTAGACCAAGACTAGACCAGGTCTAGACCAAGACTAGCCCAGGACTAGACTACTGTAAAACCAGGACTGAAACAGAACTAAAACAGGACTAGACCAAGACTAGACCAAGACTAAATGACATTTTCATTTTCCATGACTTTTCCAGGATTTCCATGACCGTGGGAACCCTGTTTAAACTTAAACGGCCCATATTACACAATTTTCTGATCTATGATATAACGTCGTTTCCTCATTTAAAACATACGTGGAGTTTTTTCTTTTTTTTCTTTTTCACACGTTTAACACAAATCCTGCATGTTTAGACTGAATTCTCTTTTGTTTAAAAGAAACGACAATAAATGCACTGACAGTATTTTGAATGTTAAAAAATAGGGATGTAACAATATACAAATCTCACGATACGATATTTATTGCGATATTTTGTGAAGGCGAACAAAATTGTGAATATGCTACTTTTTCCTCTTAAAGAACTAAGATTTAAAAGTGTAGAACTGTTATTTCTTCATGTAGTTTGCTCCAAAACAGAGCAAAGGATCATGGTCTATGTAGTTCCCTCTGTTTTTTTAGTTATTGCTGCACCAAAACAATGAATTTAACTTGTGTTTCAATATTTTGTGATGGCCCCTGATATTATTGAGAGACTTTTGACAATATATCACGATATTTTGTTTATTGTATTAAAAAACTAGGTAACACTTTATAATAACTACACCTTATTTAGCCTTAATAAAGCATGAACAAAGGCTTAATTAATAATGATTCACGCTTAGTAACTACTTAATTACTACCTTGATTAGCACTTGCACTTAATCTGCCTGTGCTGTAAATAGTTACTCATAATTATTTCATACTTAATTACTCATGAACTAACCATTTGTGCATTTATTAATCATGAATAAACTATGAAAGAATGATTTACTAATAATACAATGCAATGATCATTCAGGCAGCTGTTATCTGTTCGTTAAGTCTTTTTGAGAGCTTTTCTAAAGTGAAGACAAATTATGCTTTATTAAGCATTTACTAAGCGTGAATCATTATTAATTAAATCTTTGTTCATTATTAATTAAGTCTTTGTTCATGCTTTATTAAGGCTAAGTAAGGTGTAGTTACTATAAAGTGTTACCAAAAACTATAATCTCAAACCATAAGGTGAGTGGAAAGGGTTAACATTTCATATTTAGCCTTAAAATTCGGATAAATTCTACACAAGACTAGACTACCGTAAAACCAGGACTGAAACAGGACTAAAGCAGGACTAGACCAAGACTAGACTATCGTAAAACCAGGACTGAAACAACAACAAACCTTTCCACAAACCATAAGGAGAGTGGAAAGGTTTAACATTTCACATTTAGCCCTAAAAATCTGATCCGTTCTTCACATGTAGGTGCTGTAAAATCATGGAAAATTCACTTTAGGTCATGAAAAAGTCGTGGGAAAAATTTCGAAAGTTTTTGTCCGTGAAAAAGATCGGGAACCCTGCTTAAATAAATCAACTTTTTTCTTTTCTTGTAACACATTTGCATAAGAAGTTCAAACACGATACAGGACCAATCTGCGTTTCTACGTACGAAAATACTGAAGTACTTTGCAGAAACCTTCGTCCGGCTCTGACACCGCGCTGATATAGGGCCGGCGTAAACTGTAGCTCCACAGCGCTCTGAAAGCGTCTCCTCCAAAAAAAAAAAAAAACGTCCCACCGGTGAGTCGTTTGGCGTGCGGAGAAGAGCCGTGGAGCCGTTATTGATAGCGAGGTCTGTCCGGGACCAGAGACCCGGGCGACGGAGGCCCCAGCACCTCCGCTCCCCTGCTGCCCTGCTCCGAAACACCGGGCTTGGGTTACAGCGCTCCCCCCGGCCCCCCCTCTTACCCCCTCTCACTCCAAACCCCATTCCAAACCCCTCCAAACCCCTCCAAACCCCCTCCAGCCCCTCTCCAGCCCCTCTCCAGCCCCCCCAGCCCCTGCTCTGTTATTGTTCCACTTTGCACAGTCCTGACCTTTACTGCTGTACTGAGGTTTGGGGCGACACCAAGTACATGCAGGTTTCATTAGCGCCGATAAGGCCCGAGGAGCCGGACTCAAACCTACGCGCCGCAACGACGACTCAAATCAACTGAAGACGACGTGAATCAAGAACGTTTTATTACGATTTCAGTCAATTTCACGTGACGAGTACAATTATCGACCAATGGAACAAGAGGTTTTTTGTAGTGAAAATGTGAAATTACATCTGGAATTATAACTTCTAACTAGTCAAGAACACTCCGCTCAATAGTCGGGAAGCCAAAGTCTCAAAAGCTCAAGAAAATGGGTTGAACCTGACATCGTCTACCATACTTTTTTTTTTTTTTTTGTTAAGTGTGATCTTGAGGACCAGTAATTGCGAAAAAGAATTGTGGCCATTTTAGTGCATGTAACCTTCATATTTTGAAAAACAATTTAATTTCTCAGTCAGGAATAGAAATACACTAGATCAGTCATGTCAAACTCAGGCCCGGGGACCAAATTTGGCACGCGATATAATTAAATTTGGCCCGCGAGATCATATCAAATGTGTATTAGAGCTGATACACATAGACTATAGAGACATTATTTATTTAAAATGTTGGGTAACACTTTAGATTAGGGAGCACATATTAACACTGTTGGGCAAGTGACTTTAACACTGTAATGTGTTATTTATTTATGATTTGTTTCTGTCATTTCAAAGTGATTCGTTACATGACAATATTACTGTGTTTAAAACGTTACACGACTATTACAGCACTTTAACGTTACTCTCACTAAAATAACTGCGAAGATGCTGAACTTTGCCGTCTATCTAAAACTAAACCAGGTCTAAAACTAGGTCTAAACCAGGTCTAAACTAGGACTAAACCATGTCTAAACCAGGTCTAAACCTAGGTCTAAACCAGGAGGTCTAAACCAGGTCTAAAAGGTCTAAACCAGGTCTAAACCAGGTCTAAACCAGGTCTAAACTAGGTCTAAACCAAGTCTAAAACTAGGACTAAACCAAACTGTCTAAACCAAGAGGTCTAAACCAAGTCTAAACCTCTAAGTCTAAACCCTAAACCAGTCTAAACCAAGACTAAACCAGGTCTAAACCAGGTCTAAACCAAGACTAAACCAGGTCTAACCAGGCTAAACCAAGACTAAACCAGTCTAAACCAGGTCTAAACCTCTAAACCCTAAACCAGGTCTAAACCATGTCTAAACCAGGTCTAAACCAGGTCTAAACCAAACCAGGACTAAACCAGGACCAAACCAGGACTAACCTTGGACTAGAACTTGGCATCTTCTGTTACATTTTCTCACTGTTTTTTGCAGTGATATTGAGCCTTTGCACATTTACCGGCCGTAATGAAATACGATCGCACTCGTCGCACGTCAGACCTCGAGTCCGAGACCAAGCGCCAACAAGACTGAGACAAGACCGAGTCCGAGACAAGACCAACACTGTTAAAAAGACGTCTCAAGACCAAGTCCGGTCTCGAGTACGACGACACTACTTCTAACCATGTATTTTGTTTTTGTATTTATCTAGGGCCCCTTGTATGAGCCGAGGTCACTTCAGGGGAGTTTCCTTTTTACAAGACTTTCCTAGAATTGTATGAACTGTTCTAAATTCATTTCCAAATCCAAATTTCAATAGCACATTTTTCAAACAAAGCAGTTTGCACAGAGATCATAAAATGAAGACGACAAAAAGTTAAATTGCTAAAAATTTTATCATACCAGTCCTTAAAAAAAAAAAAAAAAAAAAAAAAAAAAGTAAAAATCTAATAAAAGCAATAAAATAAAAATAATAAAGTAAGAGTAAATAAAATAAAATAAAATATATAATAAATAAAAATAAATGTTTGTATATGTTTTGTTAAATAAATAAATAAAATAAGAGTAAATAAATAAAATAAAAAATAAATAAATAAATTAATTAATTAAAATAAAATAAAATAATAAAATAAAATATAAAATAAATAAAATTAAATATGGTTAGAAAAACAACAACTCTTTGCACTTAAAGATTCACTGTGGAACTTTTCTGACAGTTGATCCACCACCTGCTTGCCTCATGTTGATGTTGTTGCTTACCCCGGGATGTTCCACAGTATGGCATTAAACAAAAATAACTTGTATTCATTATATTAAGGTTTTATTTAGGTTTTAGACGCCATCCGTGCATGTCTAAGTAATCTAGCGATCTCTCCCAGGTTTCATTTCGTTAGCAGGACGCACGCCGCTTGTGTTGCGATGGCGCTCTGAAGGGGAGCGACTTAACACAGAGAGCAAAGGCAGTCAAGAGCGTCAAAAACGAAAGCGAAACTCATAAAACGTGTTAATAACGTTGTTTTTCGGCGAATATAACATTTTAAAAACAATAAAAGGCGACAAGGCGGTCCAAATATGTTCCGCGTTCGCAGTTAATCCCCCGCACCTCGTCTTTAACAAGTCAATTAGCACCTACAGAGCAGAAAACGCCAAGATCTCCTCTGGTGCGGTTTCACAAATTCGATTTTCTGCTCATTTTGCACGGCTCCTTTTGGGTATTTTATGGGTATTTCATGGCTGTCCCGTATCCAGTTCCCCAGACTGAGCCGAGCAGATGTTGCAAATGCCCCAGAGTCCTGCACGTATTATGTTATATTATTACATCACCGATCCGATTAAATAAACAGCGGCGCTTGTTTTTGTTTTTGTTTTTTTTCGCAGGCTGCTGAGTCACACCATGAAGGATCACCTGGTCCGAGTCGCAAACGAAGCGGAGTTCATCCTGAGCCGACAGAGAGCGGAAGACATCCACAAACACGCCGAGTTTGAGGTAAGTTTTTTTTTTTTTTTTTTTTTTTTTTTTTTTGTGTGTGTTCGAGTATCGGCCGATATCAATACTCGATACCGATCTTCATGGACGTAATGTAAATGTGTGTATACAAATCTAAATAAGATATACCAATATATTTCTTGTGCAGAGTTCATATGAAACACAAACATTTTAATCCTCAAAACAGTGAAAATGTCAAATATGTCGCATAAATCGAGTTTCATTCGTCTAAACAAACAACAAAACTGTAGCTGTAACAAAATAATTTAGTAAAATGTACCAAAAAATACTCTTGATGATATATCGATACAGGAGCCCACGATATCGATACTGTGTCTTTTGTGTTCCTGGCAATGATGACTTTCAATAATAACTTTTAATATTGAATTTTCATATTTAAATTTTTTTTTAAGTGCATTCATAAATGATTTTTGATACAGCAAATAATCTCCAACTTCATCCAGGCCTAAATGAGGCAACTTTTAACATCCCTGAACATCAGTACGTCACCAGGACTAAACCAGGTCTAGATCAGGACTAAACCAGGTCTAGATCAGGACTAAACCAGGTCTGAATCGAGACTAAATCAGGACTAAACCAGGTCTGAATCGAGACTAAATCAGGACTAAACCAGGCCTAAACTAGGTCTGAACCAGGACTGAACCAGGTCTAAACCAGGTCTTAACCAGGCCTAAACCAGGACTTAACCAGGTCTAGATCAGGACTAAACCAGGTCTGAATCGGGACTAAATCAGGACTAAACCAGGCCTAAACTAGGTCTGAACCAGGACTTAACCAGGTCTAAACCAGGACTAAACCAGGTCTAGATCAGGACTAAACCTGGTCTGAATTGGGCCTAAATCAGGACTAAATCAGGACTAAACCAGGACTAAACTAGGTCTGAACCAGGACTGAACCAGGTCTTAACCAGGCCTAAACCAGGAATAAACCAGGCCTAAACTAGGTCTGAACCAGGACTGAACCAGGACTGAACCAGGTCTAAACCAGGTCTAAACCAGGTCTGAACCAGGACTAATCTTGGACTTGAGCGAGAGGACCCTGAGCCCGCAGAGCCGAGTGTCTGCGAAGCGTGATTGGATGACAGTCGTCCTTAGCTTTAGGGTGGAAGCTTTAATATAAACCCTTTTAGGTTTTTAGCCTCTTCTAGCCCCTACTTTTTTTTTTTTTCTTTTTTATTGTTATGTTATATGTGCTAAATAATAAATAAATAAATAAATAAATAAATAGCTCCATGTAGTGTGGAGCTCTGTGCCGGCTCGTCCTGACACTCAGTCCTGGTTCAGTTCTGGTTTAGCCCTGGTTTAGTCTTGTTTTAGTCCTGATTTAGTCTTGTTTTAGTCCTGATTTAGTCTTGTTTTAGTCCTGATTTAGTCTTGTTTTAGTCCTGGTTTAGTCTTGTTTTAGTCCTGATTTAGTCCTGATTTAGTCTTGTTTTAGTCCTGATTTAGTCTTGTTTTAGTCCTGATTTAGTCTTGTTTTAGTCCTGATTTAGTCTTGTTTTAGTCCTGATTTAGTCTTGTTTTAGTCCTGATTTAGTCTTGTTTTAGTCCTGATTTAGTCTTGTTTTAGTCCTGATTTAGTCTTGTTTTAGTCCTGATTTAGTCTTGTTTTAGTCCTGATTTAGTCTTGTTTTAGTCCTGATTTAGTCTTGTTTTAGTCCTGATTTAGTCTTGTTTTAGTCCCTGATTTAGTCTTGTTTTAGTCCTGATTTAGTCTTGTTTTAGTCCTGATTTAGTCTTGTTTTAGTCCTGATTTAGTCTTGTTTTAGTCCTGATTTAGTCTTGTTTTAGTCCTGATTTAGTCTTGTTTTAGTCCTGATTTAGTCTTGTTTTAGTCCTGATTTAGTCTTGTTTTAGTCCTGATTTAGTCTTGTTTTAGTCCTGATTTAGTGCTAGTTTATTCCTGGTTCAGTCCTGGGATCAGTCCTGGTTTAGTTCGTGTGTGTCGTGCCTCCGCAGTAGCTCTTTGGCGCCCCCTAGGGAAGGCAGTCCTCACCTATTCAAAACCACTGCGTTAAACGATACGATATGTCGATATGTTTGCACACTCCTCGCCATGACTTTTGTTTTTATGGAACCATATTGAATCGACCTGAAATATTTCGTATCGAACCGTACTGAATGGAAAGTACACAGTATTGAAAAGTGTATCGTGTCGGCAGCGTCTTCCTTGCGACACGTGCTTTTTAAAACAAACGAACATGAACTGCAGAGTGAGTCACCGCGAGCGAACTGCAAACGAGAGCCGCCCGTCACACAGTCCCCCCCGAGTTTGACGCCTGCTTCGATAGTGCTTTGACAGCGACGGGTCACAGCTTCATATTTTCACTCGCCGTCAGTGGAGATGTAGAGAAAACAGAGCCGCGGTACGAGCCGAGGTAACGCCGGCTCGGGGGCTTGTCCGTCACGGGCTCGGAGCCGTCACTGCCAACCTGAAGCGCAAATGTTTACTTTTCAAACATAACCCGAAGCCGCTGGTCACGAGGCTCTGACGCAGCACACGGACGAGCGGCCAAACGCAGCACAGTCACAGATTCTGAAGGCGACTGTGGACGGTGCAGGTGAACAACGGCTCTGTTTACTTTAAAATGTTGGTAAAGAAGAAGTTGGTTAAGATTTTGAGGTTTTCAGTTCAAATCAGAGGCAGTGTCGGGGAGTAACGCGTTGTAGGCGAGTTTCATTGTTGACAAAAGCGCGCGTTGCATGCTGGGAATTATTTTGGTCGGCGGCAAGAAACACTAATTCAACATGACGGACGGAGCGAGAAAGCACGTAAAGGGTATTGATCCCGGTTATTTATCCACTCTAACGGCAGAGGACCCAAGACCATTTGACCAGAAATTGGTCATAAGCATCGACGGACGACAAATCACCCTTTTCAACCCCGACAAAAGGTGGAACAAACCAAATTTCTGGTCAGAATCACCAACTACCTGGACAAATATTCACTTGGGCGACATCCACAATGACTTGGTGGAAACTCCTGGGCCATTCACAGCAGAAAAGATGAAAACCTCCAAGAGTCTCGATGTGTTGTTGAACTTGTTGGAGTCCACGGTTTGTTAGGATCTTCTACGTTTGCTCTGTGGATGTTTGAAAGCCGTTTAATTCACCGTTAGTGGTTCTTTTCACTCAGAATACGAAAAAGACATTTTCCTTCTTCCGTGCTTCTATTTGTGCATCCGATAATGCAGCAGGAATTTACCATTATCGGGGATAAATACGCGAGGTTACGCACTGTGTTTGACCGTCGACCAAAATATTTCCCAGGATGCAACGCGGGCTTTTAATAACAATGACGTCAGCTGAAACTCGACTATAAAAGTAACGAATTCACTGTAATGTGTTGCTTTTTTCTGTAACGCAGTAATGTTACGGCATTACAGGGAAAACATTTTAATATTTTACTCAGTACAAATGTGAGTAAAGTGCGTCACAAAGCTTTTTAACCTGGATTGAAGTGGTGGGTTTTTCTTCATACAATTTGCTAAAATCACCCGCGAGATCAGCGGCGGTAAAATGTCGGAGACGCCGGTCCTTTCGCCCGCGTAGACCGTCAGGTGACTGAACCAGGACTGATCCAGGTCTGGAACCAGACTGAAACCAGACCGGGACCAGACCGGGACTGAGACCGGGACTAGACTGAGATTGAGACCAGACCAGACCGAGACCAGACCAGACTGGGACCAGACCGGGACCAGACTGGGACCAGACCGGGACTAGAGTGGAACTGAGACCGGGACCAGACTGAGACCAGACCGAAACCAGACTGAAACCAGACTGAAACCAGACCGGAACCAGACTGAAACCAGACCGAAACCAGACCGGGACTGAGACCGAGACCAGACCAGGACCAGACTGAGATTGAGACCAGACCAGACCGAGACCAGACCGGGACCAGACTGGGACCAGAGTAGGACTCGGACCAGACTGGGACCAGACCGGACCAGACTGGGACCAGACCGGGACCAGACCGGGACTAGAGTGGAACTGAGACCGGGACCAGACTGAGACCAGACCGGGACCAGAGCGGGACTCAGACCGGGACCAGACCGGGACCAGACTGAGATTGAGACCAGACCGAGACCAGACTGGGACCAGAGCAGGACTGAGACCATAGCGGGACCAGACTGGGACCAGACCGAGACCAGACCGAGACCAGGTTGGGACCAGACTGGGACCAGACCGAGACTGAGACCAGAGCGGGACCATATCGGGACCAGACCAAAACCAGGCCGGGGCCAGACTGGAGGCTCAGAGCCCATGGCAGGCCCGGAGCTCAAAGCTGAGGCTCGGAGTCCGCTCCGGTCCCAGTCTGGTCCCGGTCTCAGGTCTGATCTCAGTCCCGCTCTGGTCTCGGTCTGGTCCCAGACCTGGATCAGTCCTGGTTCAGTCCGACATCACAGTCACAGGAAGTCACGTAAACGGGAACCGGTCCATTATCCGTTTTTTCCCATTTTTCATTTAAACACAAAATCAAAAACTGTAAAAACGAATCATTATCTGTTTTTTCATTTCGGTTTTGGAGACAAATAACGAAGAAAATAGTTGTTTTTTCGTTTTCTTACTTTGGGTTTTATATCAAAAAAAGAATGATCCTCTTTCTCCTCCAGATGCTGCGGCCGATTCCCAATTTACTGCTCGACGAAAATGAACGAAAGGCCGTAACTTTTTAACTGTTCCATTTTTTTTTTTTTTTTTCTTCCCCCGCCTGATTTCTGAAGTTGCTCTCGCCGGCGCATCTCCCAAATCAGATATCGGCCGTTGTTTGTCCCGGAGTGCGTTTCACAATTGAATTCGGGCCCTTTAAACGCGGTGGCTCCTCGTGACCCCGGAGGAACGCTGGAGCCTGATAAGTCCCGCTCTGATATTGCCGTATTGATTTTTGCCCCGTACAAACCCACTGTGAGCCGCCGCCGCAGCCAACAGTTTCATTTTGCGCTGCCACTATAAAAATAACAGGCCAATGAAACATCCCCC